CTTCTACCCCGATCTGTCCCCGGGGCCCCCAGCCAGCAGAGTCCGAGCGGCGCGGGCGGCGAGCCCTACCTGAGTATCTTGTGGCGGCTGTGTCTGCTCCGCTCCCGCTGGCAGCAGTCTAAATAGCTAATGCAGATTTCCTGCCGAGACAAGAGAAACAGGCCCGGCTGAGAGTCAGTTCCACCGCCGGGCTCTCCTGCCCCTGGAGGGGAGGCTTTCCAGGAACAGAGGGGAAAGTGCAGCAAGTCACTGCCAGAGAGCAGAGGGAACTGGCGGGGCTAAAGCAGAACACAGCATGCAGCAGGGCTAACTTCCAGGGCAGGTAGAAATCAGAATCCAGCCCTATGGAGAGGTTGACCCAGCAGAGCAGTCGGCCGACCTTTCCACAGCTGGGAGGCCCGGCCAGGGCTCAAGGGGCTGCCGTGCGGTGACACCAGGCAGCACAGGGGACATGGAGAGCCAGAGAGAAATAGAGGGCCCATGTGTGTCCTGCAGCCTCAGTGAGCGATTGTCTCCTTTATTGTCCTCACAGCCCAGTCCCACGCCTTCCTCCAGCTGAGCGACGCTGCAGGCCGGGGCTGCGAAGGCCAGATCCGAACTGCCCCGATGTTCAGGGGCTCAGCGTTTGGGCCTGTCTCTAGAGCGGACAGCAGAGATCACCTGGGACTCCCTGATCGCTCACAAAATCATCAGGGTCAACAGTGGCTCAAAACCCCAGCTGGGCTGAACCACAGCTCATGACCCTTGTCCTTTCCTCCGCAAAGGGCCACAGAGGGTTAATGGTCTTTTAGCGAAGACCCTGGACTGGGACTTCAATCCACAGCTCTGCCACAGACTTCCTGTCTGACCCTGGGCCAGTCATTTCATCGCTCTGTGCCTCAGTTTCCCCATCTGTACAATAGGGATGTTACCTCCCACGGGGGTTGGGAGGTGCTTGGATACTATAGTAATGGGAGGACCATGTAAGCACATAGACAGAACCCTACTGGTCTTACTCAGGCTGGACAGCCACTGCCTTCAGGAGGAGTGTGGCCTGAGGGAGGGCTACAGGCTTCGGCCCTCCCCCCAAGAAACCAACCATTCCCTTCCCTGCAGGCTCACCTCGCCTGGCTTGATCTCCTCCAGGGCGACGAGGTGCAGGAGGAAGTTGTTATCCGGGAAGGATGTCTCAGCGTTGGGGATGCAGCTGTGGTTACCTGCAGCAGGGAAGAGACAGGCACCAGAGCCAGTGAGTGACACACAGCAGGTGTCGCCAGAGGCAGCAGGCCGGGCACAGGCAGTTCCCCATGCAGACCCCCAGCAGGCCTCAGGCCTGGCCCGGCGGACGAACAAGAGGGTTAGTTCAAACCCCTCGGCCGCCTGCTGAGACTGCCAGTAATGGTGCCAATTCCTGCCAGCTGAGCGGGGGAGGAC